CAGGAGTGGAAAGTGGTTGGAGGAGGGAAAGGCACTGGTTTTTGTCAGGGACCTGAATCATCCAGGAGCTCTTCTCCATACTCCCCACGAGTGGAGAGTTGTCACCAGGAGCCAGCAGCCACACCCTGCCCTGAGCCAGGTGATCGAGGATGGGACAATGACAGTGGCACCTTGTACCCCAGGGCCAGCAGCCAGCCTCAAGATTTCGGGGATCAGTGCTTGTCTCAGCAAGGAATCTGAGTGGGAAAGAAGAGGTTTTAGGGTAGGAGCATCACTCCTGATACATGTCTATGATGACAGGTAATTTAATATAAATAGAAATTCCCCTTATGGCAGGTGGAACCTCCTTCCACTGACTTCCATGGCAATCAGATGAGGGAACAGCTCTGTTTTAAGTGAGACTCAGGGCACCCATGCCAGCCTAGAGCAATGATTTTGGCTGCTGTTACCTTCCCTTTACCTGTTGTTTGCACCCAAACCTAATTGCCAATTGACATGAGCCTTCTTTGAGGAGCTGCTGCTCCATCAGCACAATGAGCCATTGTTGAAATGGCTGCAGCAATTTTCCAGATTAATTTATGGCTGCCACACCCCATTAGCAGCAATAAATGTGGAGCCCGGTTTTGCCGAAATTGTGAGTTACGATTTTTCAAATAAATACATTTTCCTATAAACCAGCTCTCTGTTTAGTTTGAATGTTCCTCACAGACACATCCATCTACATAAAATACACAGGAGAGGAAGCTGAGCTGTGACTTTGCTCTGATGACATAAAAACTTTTGTAAACACAATGTCACTTACAGTACTAGCAAAGAGAGAGCCCAAAAAATAAACAGCGAGTGCCTGGCCCTTCCCTTCAGGAGCACATGGAAAATTTAATACTTTTTTCCGTAAAGCTTTGTTTTCCTTTTGATTTATCCAGGCAAGACAGTGGCTGTTTGGCCATAAATAGATGGCATTGCTTGAGGGGCAATGGTTGCAGTCATCCTGTGTGCCGCCATAGGGGCGGCACGGGAGGGCTGTGGACAGAGAAGGTGCTGTGGGTTGTGCTGGGAACAGGAACATCCAGGCACAGCCCTGTGTTCACCCCCAGCTCCTCCTGCTCCATCCCTGGGGCTCTGACACACTGCACCTCACTGGGAGCTGCTCCTGTGGGGCTGATGCAGAATTGAGCAGCCCAGGGATGCAGTCTGGGGGACTCAGCAGTGTGTGGGCACAGGAGAGCACAGGCACCAGCAAGAGTGAGCTCTGCACACCCCAGCACCCCTCATCCCTATGAAACCCACCCTGGCACAGCAGGACACGTGTGGCAAACCCTGCTGGGGAGGAGAGATGCCCCGAGTGGGCTTTTCCAGGCCAGCCTGGGCTGTGACCCCAGAGCTGAGTTCATTGCTGATCAAACTGACTTGATTCCATTCACTGCTGCAGGTTCTCTCACTCCTCACATTGCCAGGAGGAAAAGAATCCCCCAGACAGAGAAGCTCTCTGCAGCTCTCCTCGAAGCAGACTCTGCTCATGCCTCGATTTCCCAAGGGTTTTTGCCACCGTCCCCCGAGGCCTCTGAGAGCAGAACTGTTAGGAAGGTGCTGAGTGATTATTATTGCATTATTTCAGGCAAGTGCTATAAATACCCAGGGGCACCTTTAGACACAACCCAGCTGCCCAGGGGAGCTGGCTCAGCCCTGCTCTGCACCCGCAGTGCCTGAGGAGGGGATCGAAGGCTCTGGAGGAGTGAGGAGGTACCCTGGGCATAACCTGAGGGGGGACACGGTGTGGGGCTGGGGGGTGACAGGGCTGGGACCCTCCTGGCTGCACCCTGGGGCTCAGAGGAGCTTGGGATGGGGGGAAGTGGGTGCAGCAGGGTGCTGGGATGCTGCAGGGAGACGCTAACAAGGAAGACAAGGGGAATATTTTACGGGGCTGCAATGTAAACAGAGCTGGAGCAGAGCCCCTTTTTATGGAGTCCCTGTCCTGCCAGGGCATCTGCCAAGGCCCTGATTTACGCTCCTATTTAGATAAGGGAGCCAGAGGGGGGGAGCAGAGCTGGCGTCAAAGTCACAGGACACCCGGGGCTGCCGCTGGCTGGGCGCTGATAAGGAGGTGGCTGAGGGGCCAGGGCCAAAACCTCAGCTCCTGCCCCAGAAACGGGGATGGATGCAGGGCTTGGTGCTCCTGCTGGCTTTGGGGTGCTGGGGTTCACAGGGACCTGGGATAACCTCACTCCCAACATGCAGCTATGGCCCCCTCACCATCACCTGGCTGTGAGGGAAGGAAAACTTTCTCTGATTTGAAGGAAAACAGGTGGAGAGAAACGTGGTTCCTCCTGCCATGCCAGCCATAAATCTCCTAATCCAAACTGCTCGGCGTTTTCTCCCCCATGTGAGTGGGGAGATGTGAAATTAAAGAAACTCACCAAAAGTTTGAGAAGTGCTAAATTTGGACGCCATGACAAAGGCAGTCTGGTTTGATTTAGAAGGTGTCGGCATGAAAAGGGCTCTGGTTTTATTATTTTATTAAAACACGAAAGATTAGAATGATTTTCCAAAGGAAAAATCAACCCTCTGGTCCCACTATTTGCTCAGCTGAGCACTTGCAAACTCTGCAGGGTCCAGGGACCTCCATCAGGGGGTGGATTAAGCAAGATAATGCCCGGGCTTGGGCTGGACTTACCTGGCTTGGCAGCTGGAGGCTGGAGGTGACTCTGGTGCACGGCTCCAGGTGACAGCTCCCAGCTGGATGTGGCTGTAAGTGGCCTGTGCAATCAATGCAGGGCTGTGGGATCAAAGGGGTGTTTTTGGGAGGTATTTCTAGAGCTGGGGCTGGGTGCCACAGACTCTCACCTGGCAGTTTACAGGGCTGGGGAGGAGCTCAGTGAGGAGCCTGGGTGGTTTGTAAGAGGAGCAGATCTCCACAGGTGATGCTCTGTCAGCATGGAGAGGTGAGACATGAAGTGAGACCCCTGAGCTTCTCCCAGGTGGGCACTGGGCTCCCATCAGCTCTGAGCCGGGCTCGGGGATCCCACCCAACCACGGCTGCTCTGAAGGGAACCGGGGACACGACGCCCTACCCTGCCCAAGCCTGGCTCTAACAGGACAGTAATCACTAGCAAATGTTCGCAGGGCGCTTGTTTAAAGGGGGTGGGGGAGCGGGGTCTTTGCAGCAGCTGAGAACAAAGCAGGGGGGGAACAAAGCTGGGCAGATCCGGCACGGCCGCTCCCCCCCGGCCGCAGGACCGAGACCCGCTCGCAGCCTGCCCCGGCCCCCCCAGCCTCCTGCTTCCGCAGCTCGCCTTGTAACAACTAACGATGGAAAATCCGAGGCATTTAAGTGGCTCCCGAATCCGCCCGGGAACCGTGATTGAGAGAAGTCAAATAAAATTTGTCATCTTTAAAATGCAGGAGGACGTTAATGGTGTGTTAGCCCGGATGATTAATACAAGCGCCTGCAAACAACCCTCCAACGTTTCCACCCTCCGCTGCAAGATGAATCGCTGGAAAGCGCCGCTAATCGCTAACATACCTTGGACCCAAAGCCCCTTCCTGCCCCGCCGGGCTGTGATCGCCGCTGCCGTGCCCGGCCTGTCCTCTCTGGAGTCTCTGCAGCAGAGCAGGGTCAGCCCCGGTGCCGCCCTTGGGATGGGGGTGAAGCCCGGGCTCTGGGAGGCATCGTCCGGGGATCTGTCACCCATGGGTGCAGAGGCGAGCAGGATGCGCTGCCCACTTCAGGGCCCCCGCCTGGGCTTGGGTTTGGGGCTGTGGTGAAGTACAAGACCCCAACCCCAGCGGGTTTCCCCAGCCCTTTCGTGGCCAGGCTGGGACAGGGAAACGCAGGGCAGGTCCCCCTCTCCCTGTTTTAAATACATTTGTGTGCACGGACAGTATAACTGTTATATATTTATGTATCTATGCAGTGTCTGTGAGCAGCACACACACGTGTGTTTATAAGCCATGTGTGTGATAGGTGTGCATGTGCCCCACGTGTGTGAGTCACGTACTTATAGTGACATTGTGCATGTGGCACATCCGTGGTGCTGCTGTGTGTGACATACGTGGATGCACGAGTGTGACATGTTTGTGGAGTGTGTGCACAGCACAGAGTCGTGTGGTGCACGCAGCATCTTCATGGTGCGTGTGGGCAACTCGTGAGTGCCCAGGTGTGAGCAGCACTGCGTGGTGTTACCAACACCAGTGCAGTGAGGATTTGTGCGGCGTGCATTGCACAGCGTGGGCGTGTGCTGTACACGCGTGCAGTGCACATCCCTGTGCAGCTGTGCAGCGCAGGCGTGGGCCAGGAGCCCCATGTGCAGGGAGGGAGCCCACACCCCATCCCTGCCGCCCCCAGCCCGCCTCACTCCCGTACCTTCGCCCCCTTTTCTCCCCATCCCCCGGCCCCGAGCGCGGCCCCGAGCACCCCGCGCTGCCCTCCACAGCTCTCCGCTCGCTCGGCCCGGCCGTCGGGTCTCCGGACAGCCGCGGCTCCCCCGCCCCACTGCCGGTTCTCCTCCCCGGGCCGGGCGCGGCCGCTCGGGGGGCTCGGACACCCCCGCCCCGGCAGCGGGGAGGCAGCGGGGGTCGGAGCGCTCCGGGACGGGGGTGGGTGCCCCTCGGCTCTTCCTCACCCCCTTCCCCCTGGAAGCAGCGAGGAGCGGGCGGGACGCAGGGCAAGCGGCGGAGGTGTGAGCCCCAAGCCCCGCGCACGCCCCCTCCGCCGCCCCGCTCCCCCCGGGGCCTCCGCGCATCCTCCCCTGCCCATTGGCTCCACGGCGGGGGGGCCGCGGCCCTATATAAAGGCAGGGTTGGGAGGCTCCAGAAGGGGTTAAAAAAACCCCAAACAACAAACCCAAAACCCCAAAGCCCGACCGCCCCCACCCCAAACCCTACAGCCGCCTCCGCCACCGGAGCCGCGCTCCCCGCAGCCCGCCGCGCCCGCCCGGCGGGGAGCGCCTCCCGCCCGGCCATGGAGCGCTGCTGAGCGGCCCCCGGGGCCAGCCGAGCGGATCATGAACCTGGTGGGGGGCTACCAGCATCACCACCACCACCACCATCACCACCACATGCTGCACGACCCTTTCCTCTTCGGGCCGGCGGCGCGGTGCCACCAGGAGCGCGCCTACTTCCCCGGCTGGGTGCTCAACCCGGCCGAGGCGACCCCCGAGCTCGCCGGGCAGAGCCCGAACTACGGCCCCGCCGAGTACGGCCCGGCCGGCCCGGGGCGGCTGGAGGCTCTCAGCGGCCGCCTGGGACGGCGAAAAGGTGTCGGGGGACCCAAGAAGGAGCGGCGGAGGACGGAGAGCATCAACAGCGCCTTCGCCGAGCTCCGCGAGTGCATCCCCAACGTGCCCGCCGACACCAAGCTCTCCAAGATCAAGACCCTGCGCCTGGCCACCAGCTACATCGCCTACCTGATGGAGGTGCTGGCCAAGGACAGCCAGCCCGGGGACACCGAGGGCTTCAAAGCCGAACTCAAGAAGGCGGACGGCAGGGAGAACAAGAGGAAAAGGGAGACGGTAAGAGGCGGATCGGGACCCGCGTCCCGGCTCTCCGTGGGCCAGGAGCGAGCGGGAAAAACCCCGGGGCTGGGGGAAAAAATCCTCTAAACTCTCCCGGCCTCGCGGAAGCCTTTTTTCCCAACAATAATAATAATAGTAATAACAAATCTGTGAAGGAAAACTCGTGGAAAAATAGCCCGACGGGTCGGGTGGGCTTCCGAGCCCTTTGCACGAGGGGTCAGCCCGCGGGTCCGGGGCTGGAGCCTCCCCCGCTCTGCCCTTCGCCTCTCCCGGGAGCTCTCCCAGGAGCGATTCGGAGCCAGGGCGGCCGCTTCTCCCCGTGCTGCAGCGGGCGGGTGCGGGGTGGGGACCTCTAAAGCCCCTCTTTGTCCTCGGGCTGCCAAAGCCGCTCGGAGCTGCGGGGCCCGGGACCCCGCTCCGTTCCTGACCGCTCCTTTCTCCCTCCTCTCCTCTCCCCATCTCCTCTCCCGCAGCAGCCCGAGGTTTATTCGCAACCTCTGGGTCACGGCGAGAAGAAGCTGAAGGGCCGGACGGGTTGGCCCCAGCAGGTCTGGGCTCTGGAACTGAACCCCTGAGAGCTGCCCCGCCCGCCCCTCCATGTGCAATGTCGGAGAGAGCCCAGCCCGGCCCCGGAGCCCATCCAGGCGCAGGACTCGGGGAGCAGGCCCGGCTGCCCCCCGCCCGGACGGATGCTCTCCGAGCTTTGCGGGCTCGCTCCTGCCCGCCTCGAAGGCAGCGGGGACCAGCCGGGCCCTTTCCCCCCGTCCCCTTCCCGCATTTGCAGTAATCGTTGCTCCCTCCCGCTGCCAGCAGCGACCGGCGGCTCCCGCCCCGCCGGGCCGGACTGGACGGTTCGATTCGTTTGCTGTTGTAAATACGAGCCCCCGACCCCCTGTCCCCGTCCGCTGCCTGACCGACGTGTGGCTGCGGTGAAACTACCTAGAGGTGCATTTGGGAACACTCCTGTGCCGGGTTTTCTACCTCAGATCTGCATGACCACTTCCCGAGGGACCGAGCGCGCCACACCACGTATTTAAAACTGAATAGCTAAAAAAAATTTAATAAAATAAAATGTAAACTTTATGCAAACGGCCTCGGGTCCGAGCCCTCTGCTTTCCCTTGCTCCGGCAATCGCGCCGCTCTGGCCGGGTCCCCTGCACTGCCCACAGGGATGCTGCGGGATTAAAGACATCCTTGAAGTCAGTACTCTCCTGTGGGGCCGATCCATGCCAGGGAATTCCTTCCTGGGGAGCCCGGGATCCTTTGAGACTTATTTATGCCGTCCTTGCTCACCGCGGGAGCTGATGGAGCTCTGCACCCGCCATCTCCTCCAGGGCACGGACTCTGCCCCTGCCCTACCACCCCTTCCCTTCCTTTCCCTTCCCGCCTCAGGAGCCCAGCTAGAGGTTCTGGACTCGTACTTGGCTTGGGGAAGGATGGCAGGATCAGGCCTTTCCAGCGTCTGATGGCACCAGAGAGCTGTGGAGCCCCAGGTTTTGTTGCTGCCACGCAGAGAGCCGGGGCTCGGCTCCGCTGTCCTGCCGGGGCAGCGCACCCGGCTCTGGCACCGGCAGCACTTTCTGACAGGGATCCCCTGTTCGGCGCTGCCCCGGCCACATTTCGGAGGAGCAGCGTCCCCTCCTCGCCATCCGAGCACGATGGATGTCACCAGCCTCAGACACAGCAACGCTCACGCAGCCCGAATTCTGTCACCACTCAGGCATAAATCCTTAATAATCCTTTATAATTAAAGCCAAGTCCTCACCACTGTGCACACGCGGTGCTCTCACCAAAGAGTTCCGAGACGTGCGTGCATGGGCTCAGAGCCTGATCCTGCCTTCCCAGCCTGGCCACGCCGCCGTTCCCAGAGACACCGGGATAAACACTGACACTCGGGACGCTGCTTGGGGCAAAGAAAAACAGCACGAGAAAATGTGCACATTATTCTAGGGCTAATCTGAGGGGTCACGGCAGAGACATTTACATTTTCTGTTTGAAACCAAGTTTTTGATTGCGACTGAAGGTATAGAAATAATGATGCAACGTCTGTAAAATACTGACACGATTAATCTGCACACACCAAGAATATTCCAGTTCACCCATCGGGAAGGAGCTTGGGTTTTATAGCCACTTTGTGCATGTGTACAAGTACAGATGGAGGGACACACAAACATTGGGGGGTACAGCCAGTGTAATTAACTCTCGACGAAGAAGAATCTGGCTGCCTAAATCAGCCTTCCCTCGCTCCGGAGCCCCTGCACGGCTGCCTTCCCTGCCCCTGATCTATTTTCTGATCCCTTTGAGCGAGGCTGAGATGAAAATTGACTGCAAGAGAAGAGCAGTGCCCGCCCGCAGTGGTACTTTTTGTTTGAGCTATAAGAGGTTTAGCATGATAACACTTCCATGAGTGAAGTAGAGTAGGGCACTCCTAAACCCGAATGCATTTAGGGAAAAAAAAAAAAAAAAAAAAAAAAAGAAAACGTACAGAAAGTCAGCCTCAAAGATCCTATTTTATGTCTAAGTTTCACAGTCTCCTCAAGGCTGGGTTTTTAGGGGAAAGCTCCCAAGCTGTCACTAACACTACAATCCGGCGCCCCATAAATGTGTCCGCAGCCCTGTTCATATGTGCCAGCCGCTATCCGTGTATCCATCCAGCGCCAATCGGGGCTGCCCTTCGGCAGCGATGAGGGAAAGGGTTAAAAAGAGACTCGGGACTCGCTCTGCTGTGAGGCAAAGGTGACTCTGCCCAGGACTCGTGTCCCCGGTGCCGGCACACCACGGTACATCACTCGCAGCCTGCGCACCTTTCACCCCGCCAGAAACCTCCGCTGGTTTTTACCTCGTGTGTTTCCAATTTTGCTTCTGGGAAGGGGCGCCCTGCACAGCCAGGGCAATGTTCTGCCTGCATCCGCAGGAGTTTTTCTCTTCTTACAAGAGGTCTCTGGTGGTGGTACCTGCTGGCTGCAAACTGCTGGGGAAGGTGTCCCCAGTGCCAGCCTCCCCTGCTCCTCGGGATTTTGCAAGTGAAAGCGCTCTCCGTTTCCACGGCTGCAGAGGATTTCCCTGCCCAGCAAAAGGGTTTTCCTGTGAGGTAGTGGCTCAGCGTTTGGGGGGAGAGAGGGGGGGAAAAAAACACTAAACATTTCCTACAGCCTCGGGCTTCCCCGCTCCCCAGAACGCTTTGGAAGGGCTGCGTTTGCCAGCAGCGAGCTCCGTCCCAGCTCCGCACCGGAGCTCAGCCACTCCGGGGCCGGGAAAGGGAGCCGAAATTCCAGCTCAGCGCCTGTTCCAGCCTAGGATGGGGTCACCCCTTCACCCCCAAAGGGAGAGGAGCTGCAGGGGATGGGAACCTTGCACAGGGACAGCCTCCGTTCCTCCGGCAGCGAGCCACGGCTGGGAGCGGCGTCCCGGCGGCGCTCGGCAGAGCTCCCGGCACCAGAACTCGCTGGAAGAGCGGTTTGGCCACCAGCTTTGAGATTTTGGCTGTCGAAGTGCCCAGCTCATCGGTCAGGGGACATGGCCCTGCACATACCTTCGGCTCGACCCTGCCGTGAACTTGATGCCGTTGGGAAGCAGCCGGCCCGGGGCCCGGGCAGAGGAACACGCACGCAGGGACCGCTTGGCCCCGGGGCAGCGCCTGACGTGCCAGGTTCCTGCCCTGGAATCCAGCCAGGACACTGCAGGGGACACTGCTGCCAGCCCTGCTTGGCCCCTGGCTCCGTGTCCGGCCGTGGGGGCAATGATGTGGGCAAGGAGGCTGTCGGGTGCTTCCCACCCCTCGCTCTGCGCTCCTGGTTTGGCATGCAAGGGAATGGCTCATTTTTTGATTTTTTTTCCCCCCCTCCTTTCCTGCCAAGCCCAGACCCCGCTTCTTGTTGTTGTAGGTATTTATGGGCCTGTTTATCTGATCTCGGGGGAGCCTATTCTTATCTCAGAAGCAGCAAGGGAAGGGTTACACTGGACAGCTCGGTAGACAGGATGGAGCCAAATAAAATACCAATCTGACAAAAAAAAAAAAAAAAAGAAAAAAAGGGGGGCGGGGGTGAAGAAAGAAACACCCAGACCCAGCCACCCCGACCGATCGCCCATGAGCACTGTCCAGGCTGCAGGCAGGATTTGCCAGCTCCCAAAACAGCTGCTGGTTTTGGGCAGACATCACAACCCTGGGCAAAAAAATTCCCAGGGACAGAGCAGAGGAGAGGACAGGGTAATGACACTGAAAGATGGGGAAAAAAAAAAATTTAGAAGTTTCAGGTCGGTTGCTATGGCGGTTCAGCCGTGATGCTGCTGTCCCGTGTTTCTCGGGGCTCGCACGGAAATGTCCCAGCCTGGGATGAGAGGCACAGCCGGTCCCCAGCCCGGGCAGGGACTCGCTCGAGGTCGTCCCGAAGGTCACGGCCAGGGCCAGGGCTGCTGCCTCCCGTCACGGGGCCCCTCTGGGCTGGCCCAGCCGGTGACACAGGGCTGGGGGAGGCGGGGGACAGGGCAGCCCCCACCCCGGACAGCAGCGAGCCCAAAGTGCAGCGGGGATAGAGCGGGATGGGATAGGATGGGATGGGGCTGGATGAGATGTCCCCTCCTGCCTTGGCAAGCAGGGCAGCAAGGGCAGCAAGGGCAGCCTCATGCCAGGGGTACCCCCAGTCCTTGCCCCCTCCCCACCCCACGCCCCCCTAATTACCGCTCTTAAGGAAGCGCCTGGGAGTTGTGGCCATTTAAGGTAGCCCAGCCCCTCTGAGTAAGGGTAATTGGGCCATAATTTGTTTTCGGTGTCAAGATGGCGTCAAAGATAAGACAAAAATCTCCAGGTTTGGGGGCTAAAGAGACAGGAGAAATCCTGACCCGGGGCCGACCTCGGAGGAATGGCCACAAGCCCCAGTGAGTCACATGGCAGGTGAAAGATTTACTGCCAGGGGAGCTTTTTGATCCTCTCCCAGCACTTGGAGCCTCTCAGGCCAGTTGCTGGCTGCTAAGTCAGGCTGTCTCCTGGGAGCCCTGCTCAGGTGGGAAGGTTTTCTGCCAGCCGAGCCCCGCCCAGCTGCAAAGTTCATGGCATTCAATAGTTCTTCCTCAAATCCCCACGCTCCTGGAGTCACATGATGCCCAGACCCATCTAAAGAGATGATGCATTTCTAACCCTTACCTGTAGGAATGATGCACGGGAGACTCTGCAGCCAAAGGTAGATGAACACTGACTTTTTTTTTTTTACTTTCTTGCTTTTATTTTCTAAACCAAATCCAAACTCTCTGGGTTTTCACCCCTGTGGCAGTTCCTGCTTGGCTCTGCTTGCACTCAGCTCTGCCCAGGGTAAATTATTCCATGCAGCTGCCTTTGTTGGGAAAAGACCAAGAGTCCTGCACCTTGGGCCAACCTTTAAAGAGTGGACAAACCCATCATCCATCCCATGTCCCTGCCTCTCCAAAGCCAGCCTGCACTGCTCCTTTACTCCATGAAGGCTCTTTCTCCAGTGCAGAGGACTGGGAGACCTACAGCTTTCTGCAGAATTACCTGTTCTTGTCCTGTTCAGTGATGGAGCAATCCCCACAGCAAACACCTTCTCTGGCAGTGCTGACACTG